AAAAGCTTTAACAAAGTTAACACGATCGAATTCTTCAGAATCAACAGTGAACCACGGACTAAAGACCACAAGTGGAAACGGTGTGGAAGTCCTTTTAAAACCGAGAACATCGGGCACCTCTGTGCACAAATGGGTGTGGGAGCATGGAGCGAACGCTCCAGTCCTGCTGTTTATGAAGCTGATGCCCTTGTTTCTTTCTAGGAAGTGCTGGATGAGATCCTCTGATCAGCTACCAGCAGCCAAAAGAGCTGAATGAACCAAACGGCGTCTCTTATCTGTAACCTTTATGTTACTGTTTTCCCATATTCAGTGCATCGTGACATCCTTACTGATTACTTAGGAAAGACGGTCATGGAGGTCAATCATCCTATTAACCAATCACCCAGTCATTCCGCAAAGATAAATTAAAAAGAGAATGCAATAGCAAATATATGTTCCTGAAGGAGTGGCCCCTGATTTCTTGTTTTCAATTTCAACAGCTGTCGTACAGGTGTGTCACTCCATCAGAAATCTAAGCCTGAGATATTCTTGACGCGGTTCGTCTTCCTACATTGGCGACACGACCGGATGGACAAACACACGAAGCACACACAGGACCAACGCACATTCCTGACGGCAGAATGTGTTGCTACAAGTGAAATATGGTGGAATATCACCAGAAGGTATTTTGAAAGCACTGCATTATTGCATAAATGTTGTGATTCATTCGTTTTCATTTCAAATGTTAAAATTTGAGGAACAGTCACTCCCTCCTCATCTTCCACTCCTTCCACAACAGCCTTAATGATGCTTTAAACTTCCAGCTTGTTAAAAAAAAAAAACTGTTGCAACTGTAATGAAGGCAAGGTTTGTACACAGGTCTGTAAACGGGTCCCCACCCTGAGGAAATATCCATACGGATTCTGGCAAATTCAGCAAAGGCCTTTGTCAGCTGTGGGCGTGTGAGCTCCTGAAGATGCTGCAGCCTGTAATGGAGTTCACTGCCCGTCTTTGTTCTGTACTCCTTGATCATTCCCTTTCTTTCCTTGGTGCCATTGTTGCATCACAATGGACACACTGTCATTGTCGACTTGGGAAGTGTCACCCCAGCACAGCAATAAGGCTGCGCTTGTGGTGGGGAGAGCACAGAAGAGCACGCCATTGTAACCAGACTCGCTGTGGTGCCCAGCTGCGGAGCGTGTGGTTCCTGTCCGCAACAGCACTGCCAGTAGCTGGGAGTCCGGTACTTCTGGTAAAGCTCTCCAGCCACAGAGGAAGAGTATTCGCCTGAAGGACTTAGAATTGTGCCATTTCAAAAAATGTTTGTGGAGTTTCTTACAATTATGTGACATGTCTCCGAATGTGTAAATTTATGACAACAGCTCAGGAGTTTCCATTCATGCAGATCTTCATACCCGAAAAACAACAACAAAAAAACGCATTAAAGAAATTAATTGTTCAAATTCATCTTGCATTAAATGAATACTAGAAACAGACAAGGACAAGTCCAGTCCAATACCCCAGCAAACCAATCCAATAATCATTTCCTGATTAAGAAAAACCTCTGAGTACAGAAGTATGAACCACAGAAATCATTCTGGTTGACAAGACAGTCAGAAATATCTCATAATATATCTCATAATGATAATAAGGAATCAATCAGGAATCACACCCTGATCTCTCTCTCAAACTGATCAATCAGGAATCACACCCTGATCTCTCTCTCTCTCA